GAATAAGACCATGTAACGAAGAAGGATACGCCGGGAGTTCGAATCTCACCAGGCGTCGCCTTTGTTCAAGGAATGAAGAAAGGAAAGCGCCTTTCCGAGAAGGGGAAAGCGACGCGCGTTGTTTGGCACACTAGAGAGGGCGTATGAAGTCGTCCCCAACTACTAGGCATGTGTTGCGTAAGGAAGGGCATACGGCGTGTAGACTATCAGTGTTGATGATTTGTTTTTGTGCTGCGCAGGGAGGACTTTGTCGAGTCAGCCGAGCGTGGCGTAGAGAGCGAGCCGGGGGCGGTGGTAGATATGGTGTTGCCTTGATGTTGCAGTACGGCCGTTGGAATCTTTCATGATATGAACGGCGTGAAGGCGTTGAGATTTGTAAGGGGTTTTGATCTGATGGCGGGTTTCCCCTTGTTTCTGATTTGCGTTGTTGTAGGTGCTTTTCGGATGTACTCTTCGACGCACGAGTGGTGGTTATTCACTGGCGTAAAAAACCAAGGGAGGGTGTTCGTGCGTGGAGGTAGATTAGTCGAATTGTACCAAATCACTGGCGGTTTCGTGGACCGCAGATGGGATTGCCTTGAGGGGCGGCTAGGAGAGACCTTTAGATACGAGTTGCGGGCCCCCTTTTCGACTGGCTTTGGGCCTGGCACTCTTCCTCCCTCCTTCTCCCTCGTGTCCCCCTACGATAATACATGCCGTTAACAACACTCTTTGGACTCTGGAGGTCACACAACAAGGGCACACCAACACCGAGCGGGAGCCATAGACTAGGCTTTTTTTCTTTGTTTTGGATCTCCTTCGCCCGAAATGGACCAACTTCGTCTGATTATTGACTGTCGGGGGCACACCTTTTTTCTGTATGTACTTTCGGTTTGTACTGTGTATACTCCCGTTTGTTCATGTTTTTTCGGGTCCTTCCCAGTTATTCGTTTTTTTTCAGTTGGCAGCATGGGTTGGATTACACGGCACGAAAGTTGTGAGCGTGGTATATATTGAAGTGAACACTAAAAAGAAAAGAAAAACTGTACCCTCTTTGGGTACCTCCACGGACTGGACGCGTCCGCGTCAGTTGGACCGGCACGGATATTAGAAGTTACTGAGCGAAGACCGGAACGGTAATAATGTGAAAACAACGACGACAGCAACAATACCGCATAGCAAAAAGGTTAGCAGGTGTGGGTGTGTTGGGTACATCGCAAGCCGCCATCGTCGCTACGGTGGCTCGAGACAGCATGCGAAAGCGAGAGAAATGTGCACACACTCCTCGCCACCACTCCGTCTCGCCACAGAGTTCGGGGCCTTCGCGACGCGTATTTCACACTATTGGCTCCTTCCAATAGACGTACCAATACGGTGCGGACACAAGAGGTTTCGGCATGCCTTGGTTTATACGTCCTCCCGAAAACCACAAGTGCAACAAAGTGTGTAGACTATGTGTTTTCGTCCTATATTTTGTTTAGACAGTCCCCCCAATTTTGGTGGTGAGACGGGTACTACACTTTTCAGTGTATTTTTCATACAATTACAACCATCCAGGGTCGCACAGGGGGGGGGGGTAAACAGGTAGAAGAGGGAACTGAACGCACGCGCCCGTCATCATGGCGTTTCACCACACGACGCGTTGACTATTACGTCTTCTCCAAAACCAAGATACGTGCACAGATTTTTCATTTATTCACCCTGCAGGACACGCCCAACAAAAAAACAGCTCGTGGACTCTGTGTCATGCTCAGTGCTGGGCGACACTACCGTACGAGACAAACTCATAGCAAGTCTAAACGCCCTCTCCACCATCCCCCCGATAACTAAGGGTTTTTGTTCCCCACTTGATAATTGGGATTTCTGGCGCGGGTAAGCAAAAAAACAACTTTTTCTTTTTTGTGTCGTGATGTCCTCTCGACCTTGACGTACGGATTTGTGTGCTAACGGCTAAGCGTGACAACACCAGCCTGGAGAGCTCCGAAGACCCGTGACAATCACATGTATCAGCTGTATCTCTAAACCTTCCCCATTGTGGGGTTAATCACGCGTATTCAGTTGTGTCTCTCACCTTTCCCGTTGTGGGGTTAAATCACGGCCGCGTACGTAAATGGAATAATTTTGGAGGCAGGTGCTGCATATCCCCGCATCTCGTCGAGTTACGAGATCATAACAAACGACGATATGGACCACTTCTCTGCCCGCGGATGGTCGGAGGCCATGACACAAGTACCCTGCCCGAAGTGTTCCCGTCCCCTTCCAATAACAGCAAACTACCGAAAACGTCCATCACGCTGGCTACACTTTTTTCGGGTCGAAACGAGGTTATGCCCCAAAGCGACAACGAGTCCCCCCGTAAATATTTACCTTCCCGGTGTTTACCCATGGGGACAATGCTCCACCCGTCCTCTCGCGGACTCGTGGTCAATGGTCTAACCGCTAAGCTCGTGACGCAGATTCAACATATACAAATCCACGATCCCTCCCGTGTGTGTGCCCATTTGCAAAGGAGGCTGCGAACAGCATGGAAGGGGAGGAGGGAAGAGAACAATGCCTCTGCAGGCATCAATCAGCCCACGATCTTGATACCCGGCCGGATCGATCGCGACGTTGCTCTACCCAAACGAACCTCTACGCCCATGTGCTGCTTGCGCTCGGGCTGCCGCAATGTCACCGGCCAACGTGCCAGCCACCGGGTCCCCACAATGACCCCTTACAAGTGTCGCAAATATAAACAATTATCGGCCACAGATTATCTAACCCCACGCTCTACACGCCTCCTCGTGGCTTGCGTGATTGTTTGGACTACGTACGCATGGTTTTTGTATTCGCCCGCTACGCAATTGGCCCCCCCCGGGGCGTGACAAATGTGTTGGATTACCTACCCTGGAGCCCCGTTAATCCGCCTCTGAGCACGAAAGGGTTTGCTCGAAAGCTCTTGTTGCCGCAGAGCGCCAATGCTACACCTAACTGAGTGGGACAACAACCAAACACCATGCATGCCCACGTGTTCGCAAACCTCTATTCCAACTACGTGCCAAAGCGATTGTTTCCGATGGCAGCAGCGAGATCGAAACACGCTCTGAGGTACCACTCCCTGCAACCCTCGAATCATGCGCGGGCAACACCCCTTCTCGGATGTAATATGGTCCATGGTGAAGACAAAGACAAAACAACGGCGCGCACTGCTGTTGTGCAAGCATTAACTAAGAAGTCGTAGTGCTCAACGATGGCATACACATGCTGCCAAGCATCTATATATTGTATCCGCATTTGCGTCACGACCCGCCCACGCGCACGACGTCGTTTGAACTTTCGCAGCATCTGGGCTGGCGGCTAGCAAGGATACGACCCTGTGAGCCAAAGGCTTCACAAGAGAGGAGTCCTCAGCGGACTTTGAGTGCTAAGGTGGTGGTGGCCGTGTCGCCTTGGGCCTGAGACAGCACCGAAGTTTACACGGCCAACCCAGAGCTAGAACTGCAAGAGAGAAACCGCCGACAATGGGTCCCCAGATGACGGGCGTGGACCTGTTGTCATACATGCGGCCACAGAACCCGGACTTGAGGTCCTCATATGACTGGTGTGGACCCGTTGTCATATGGCGCCAACAGCAAGCGGTTTCACGGCACGACACCCAAAAACAAGAGAAAGAAAATATTAGGGAAGACATCCCTCAGCGAACCCTGGGTCCCCAGATGATGGCCGTGCCGTCATCGCTGCAGGAGGACATCATGCCGGGGTACTTCGGATTCCAGGACACAGAATTCACCACGTCCTCGTGCCCCTGTCGAGTTGTTCGTCAATCATCGTCGTTATTTACCGATGCGAGAGACGAGGGAAAACAAGTGAGTGAATCCTACGAAAAGGCAGCGAGATGGACGCACGACGGCTGGAAACGGGCACCAACCAAGCTCGGCGTTCAGCCTAACAGGATCGAGGCCGAACACTGTATGATGCTGGCAACGATGCGCACCCGGTCCAGGCAGCAGCGTCTTGCTTATGAACTCAATCTATTCGTGTTAAAACGCAGGTGGACAAATCGTGGTGGTGGCGTTGCCATCCGACACAGAAAAGAGTACGACTCATGCCGAAACGGTACAACATAATCATTGTTTTCTCAACCTGTGGCTTTCCCTCTTTGGTGCCATGAACTGTGCCTGTCGTGGGGGCGCGAACCTTCTCCTCCCACACACGAACAGGCCTTTGCGATCGTTCGCGAGAAAAAAAACTCGCCACACCACACAGGTGGAGCAACAACACCCGCACGCGAGGGATAGACGCGTAACGCTCCTGTTCGCACGAGACCCGAACCATGGACCGATTTCCAAGAAGCTCGATCAACTCACAGCAGAAACATCGGCCGCGCCGAAACGGCGGCACGCTGGAACACCGTCTTTGGACCGATTTCCAAGAAGCTCGTGCCGAACACTGCGGCGCGCTGGAACACCTTCTCACCTACAACTTCCCGGAAACGCACCGCCCGCTTGATACATACTCCTTTTGGTCGTGGAGTAATGGAGCTTTGAAAATCGTTCCAGGGCTGTGTACAATATTATGCGTCTTTTTTGTTAGCATCGACCGCGCCAACCGGCTGACCGATGAAAAGACGCCAGTCTCAGCGCCGTTGAAAACTGTGTATGATGTGTGTGGCACTAACGGCGGTAGCATGCACATGTTTGTATGTTCGCGGTGTCACCTTGAGGACACCGAGGAGCAGGCGGTGTCGCAGGTGCCACACGAACACCCGATGCTCCTCCGATCCGCTGCAGACGTAGTCGCCGAAGGGATCTGCAGCGCTCTGCGCCGCCATGATGAGGAAAGGGCAATCCTTGGTGGTGAACGCGTGGTGCCCGCCCAGCTTGAACGCGAGCTTCTTGGTCGCGACATCCCAAACCTGTTTTTTTTCGTTCCGAAATTCGAGCGGTGGCGTCGCGGCGATCACTTCGGTTGGTAACTTGATGGAGGCGGGTGGGGGGGGGTACTCTCAAGTTTTGCATGCCTTAGCGGTTAAACATTGACCACGCGTCTAGAGGACGGAACATGATTCCCACGGGACTCATCACAGATGGCCGATCGATCCTTCCTACGTTGCCAAAGGTGGCTCAAAAATGTTTCCCCTGGCCTGTCTATCCTATCTGGTGGGTGTACTCAGAGCCGTTCATGCCGTAGTCGCTAGGCCGACTTGACTTGACTTGACTTGACTTGATGGGGGGAGCGGGGGGATCGACTTTCGGGATGCACCAGGGAACAGCGGTCAGCCAAAAAACAGAAACCTCCGACGCGACAAAAACTTAGCGTTCCCATCTAAAACGAAGAATCTCCGAAATTTGGGGTTCTGGACGTGATCACAAGCCACACGCCTGGCGTGCATACACGATGTGGGGTGATTGACCTACAACAAAATAAATTCGAGCATGTCGTGCCGCGAACGTGAGTACGCCCGGGGGATTGAAACCATTGCGAAAGCGGTGCCCCCCACAAAGAAGCAACATAGCAAACGGCTGCGTGGGACACGGGCATCATCGCTCAATTCTGCAACGCGGCGCCTCTGCCGTGCAGCAGGCAGGGCAAACGCCAAACAAATCAAACGGCTGGGTGTGACACAGGCATCACTAACGGCCGCTGAGGCACAGGGATCATCGTTCAATACTGCAACACGACGCTTGTGCTGTGCAGCAGGCAGGGAGGAGGGCAAACAAGGGCAAACGGCTTAGTGAGACGCAGGCATCAACACTCATTGCAAATGGCTGCCTGAGACACAAGCGTCATTACTGCAACCGGATGCCTCTGCTGTGCGGCAGGCAGGGAGAAGGCCACAGAGAGCAAACGGTTGCTTGACACACAAGCATCACAAGCTGCTGCCTGAGACAAAGGGATCACCGCTCACAACCTCAACGCGACACTTCTGCGGTGCAGCAGGAAGGGAGAAAGAAGGCCAAAGAAAGGCAAACGGCAGACTGAGACCCAGGCATCACGCCTCAGAGCTAATGGCTGTGTGAGACACAGGCAGGCGTCATTAGTGCAGCCCGACGCCTCTGCTGTGCAGCAGGTAGGGAGAAGGAAGGCCACACATAGCAAACGGCTGCTTAACACACAAACATCACCAACTGCTGCCTGACAAAGGGATCACCGCTCACAACTACAACACGACGCCTCTGCTGTGCAGCAGGCAGGGAGAAGGCTCACGAGACGGAGGCTCGCGCGCGGCGGCGGTTACACCTCGACCAACCCACCTGAAGCTCGATTTCGTTCGATATCTCCGGCGCAGTATGCCGTCCTTCAGGACGATAGAGCTTGTCAAGGGCGCCTTTCTGCAAGCACCGAAAACAACAAAAAAAAAGGGAGGGTCAATGCCGGTGCGGGTGAAAACGGCGCTGCAAAATGTACGTATATCGTGGCATACAGGTTTTTCTCCGTACCACTCACTGCAACGACCTCAACACATCCACTTCGACTATGGTATTATCTCGAGCTATAGTTGTCTCTGCCGACAGCTCTACCTGCGGCGGAAGGCGACGCCAAAGGGCACAGCAACAAAAACGCCAAAAATGTGTGGCTTACGTGGATAGGTGGAATCACAGCGGGCTAACACTATGCATAGCTGTCTCTTGCCTCAACACCACTGCGCCATCAAAATAATTTCGACGAAAAAATTCGGCGGCGGTATACTGGAAGGCTCGGTTGATCCACAACAAGCCTTTCGTCGAGACAAAACACACGCCAGACCGAGAATCAACGACACACGCTCACACACACACTGCTAAAATCGTGGTGTCCATGTAGTCGACCCCGCTTTGAGGACGCTCGCGTTAAGGAAACTCCCAACTTAACGGAAACTTGTTCAGCTTAGCACCGGGGGCTCGGCAAAATATACGATAATGGGGAACCCCCATTTTTTCTGCCGCGTACCCCACCTTTTTTTGTGTCCTGCGGGCCTGCGGGCCGCTCTTTGCACGAACCACGCACGAGAGTGAGTGCTGAGGTAGCGACGCACAGACAGCAGAAGTAGCGAGCGGTCTGCTGCTGCTGCTGCAACTGGGTGTTGGTATGGACAGATTCCTCCCATCTACCGGCGGCCCCCCTCGGTGTTTGCCATCGGGGTTGGGTTTTCGTCGATTAGCAACGACGTTGTAAAACAAGCCAATTCACTTCGTGAACTCGGCAACCAGGTTCCCGTTTTTTTCACCTCTGGTATTTTTTTGGCGGTAACCATAATGGTGGTCGAGTAGATCATGTTGTGCGGGGTCGAGAACCCTCACTCCGCGCAAGGGGGATGATCGAACCACGTTGTGCTAAAATGGTCAAGCACCCTCGAGGCAGTTACACAGTGCTTACAACTGTCTCAGGAAGTGAACGCACCAGAAAATTAAATAAGCCATACGCAGCTGTCATCCGTATGCAAGGAAGTAAGCACAAGATGCCGAAAACCCTTAGCAGGATGCAGCGCACCCTTCATGCGACTCGCCGAATATCTCACGGCGCTTCGCGCTTGGTGATGTGAGAGCCTGGTCCGGTGAGAACCCGGCGTGCTCCGTCCCGGCTTTGTAGGGATGCGAGGTCAATGGTCTAACGACTACGGCATGCACGACTATGAGTACACCCCCCCATCTACCGGCGGTCCATCTGATGCCGCCAAAAAAGAGTCGTGCATAACCTCGTCCCTCACCGAGGGCGAGGTTACCTCTCGCTTGGAGGATGTCCGATCCTACAGATAGCGCCTGCAGTTAAGAAACGTCAAAATCGGTTCGAGCCTCACCAATCCCTGCTTTTGGGTCGAAGTACCGGCCAAAGTCGTCCATTTCTTAAATGGCATTTCTTCTTCCTTTGGACTGTCGCATCCTCCGATTCTCTTATTCCGTAGACTGCAACAAGTACTTCGTATTTTCTTTTTTCTGTCTTTTGATCTCTGAGGACAATCCGTATCATCAAGCCCTCAAGAGAGGTGGTGGAGGGTGACATCAAACCCGTACAACAGCGGAGAGATATGGTTGTCCGCGATGTATGGCAGTACTACAGTACTACAGCACTCACTGTGAACAGCAGGGGTGTGGGGGGGCGGGGGGGGGGGGGGGGGG